AGAGACTCCTAGACTATAGAAATGAAGCGGTTACCAAAGAAGAACAACACAAGCCCCAAACACTGGGGAAAAAACATATAAACCGCCGGGTCATCGAAATGGAAGCCCCAATAGGCCAAACGGAAGTAACGACAGACCAAGCGGGTGGACAGATAGACCTTCTCAGAACAACCAAGCGGGGACATCTCGAGAACCTTACCCTCAAAGGAACCACCCGACGACACCTTTACAATGCCTGTTGTGTAAAGGCCCCCACAAACTGTCCTATTGTCCTCATTGGGCCTCTCTCAGTGCACTCCAAATGTCCATCCAAGAGAGCAATGACACAGGAGTCGAGACTATGCTAGACAAGAAGGAAGATCAAGACAACCCTTCAATGCCACTGGAGTCGAGACTATGCTTTGACGTGGTACTTGGGATGGAGTTCCTCCTAGAACACAAAGTTATCCCAATGCCACTGGCGAAATGCTTGGTGATCACCAATCGCAACCCCACAGTAATACCTGCAAGCATCAAACAACCAAGTAATCTTAGAATGATCTTGGTCATACAGTTGAAAAGAGGACTCACACGAGAGGAAGCTACATTTATGGCTATACCACTGATGGAAGAAGTGACCACTGAGAAAACTACTCCAAGCGAAATCAAGGAGGTACTAGACAGTTATGCTGACATAATGTCAGAGAGCTTACCACAAACATTACCACCCCGTCGAGGCATTGATCACGAAATTGAACTTCTCCCCGGGGTTAAACCCCTAGCGAAGAACGCATACTAGATGGCTCCCCCTAAGCTAGCCGAATTGAGGAAACAACTAGATGAGTTGTTGACGACAGGATTCATCCGCCCGACAAAGGCGCCTTATGGAGCCCCCGTACTATTTCAGAAAAAGAAGGATGGGACGTTGCGTCTTTGCATAGATTATAGAGCCTTAAACAAGGTGACGGTCCGCAACAAATACCCACTGCCGATAATATCCGACTTGTTCGACCAACTTCACGGGGCCAAATACTTCACGAAGTTGGACTAACGATCAAGGTACTACCAAGTACATATCGCCGAAGGGGACGAGTCCAAGACGACGTGTGTAGCAAGATATGGGGCCTTTGAGTTTCTTGTAATGCCCTTTGGCTTGAGAAACGCCCCAGCTACATTTTGCACGTTAATGAACCAGGTTTTCCATGAATACTTGGATTAGTTCGTCATAGTATACCTCGATGACATAGTTGTGTTAGGATCGATATCAGTCGTTAGCTCTGATACCAGTTGTTAGGATCGCACAACAACGCACACGCTCGATCTAGATGAACACAAAGAAAAGAATAGAGAGAAGTTGCAAGGAGAACTCTGGCTAAAAGTATTTTTTGTATTGATGACTTTAGGTATGTACAACAAGAGAGAGTACAGAGAATAGAAAGTACATTTCAAAGCTTTACCGGACCCAGATATATATATGGTATAGTTTACTATATATAGATTTACCAGATTTAGCCATCTACTATATATAGCTATTTACCATATATAGCTTTACCGGATATAGCTTTACCATATATACTTTACTATATATAGCTTTACTAAATATAGCTTTACCGGATATAACCGTTGACCAAGCTATAAATAAGTATCAGGCTCCATAGCCTAACAAATTGTATACAGCACAACCCTAGAGGAACACAAGGTGCACTTGAAGCTGGTGTTTGACAAGCTGCGACAGAATCAGTTGTACGTCAAGAAAGAAAAATGTGCCTTCGCACAAACATGTATCAACTTCCTTGGACATGTCATCAGTTGTGGACAAATCGGTATGGATAGCGATAAGATAAAAGCTATCCAAGAGTGGAAAATCCCTACTTCCGTATTCGAAGTGCGATCCTTCCTAGGGTTGGCAAACTACTATAGGTGGTTCGTCGAAAGGTTTTCACGACGAGCCGCCCCATTAACAAAGCTCCCGAAGAAAGACCACCCTTGGTCGTGGTCAAATAAATGTCAAATGGCCTTTGAAGATCTGAAGGTAACCATGACGAGGGGTCCTATCTTCGGGCTAGTAGATGTTACAAAGCATTTGAAATAGGGACAGATGCTTCCAACTTTGCCCTACGCGGTGTCCTTATTCAAGAAGGCCACCCCATCGCTTATGAAAGTCGAAAGCTCAATAATGCTGAACGGAGATACACTGTCTCCGAAAAAGAAATGCTGGCTGTGGTTCATTGCCTACGAGTCTGGAGACAGTATCTCTTGGGATCACAGTTCATAGTGAAGATGGATAACAGCGCCATTTGCCACTTCTTCGATCAACCAAAATTGACGACAAAACAAGCCCGGTGGCAGGAGTCGTTGGCTGAATTCGACTTCAAATTTGAACACAAGGCAGGAAAGAACATTTACACAAAGACCCATCGGCAAAAGTCGTCGTCGAACTAGCTAAAGCTGGGAAGACACGACAGTTTTGGGTCGAGGGAGACCTTTTAATGACTAAAGGAAACAGATTATATGTCCCAAGAACGGGAGAACTAAGGAAGAACTCATTCAGGAATGTCATGATACCTTATGGGCCAGACATCCTGGGTGGCAAAGAACATATGCCCTAATAAAAAAGGGTACTTCTAACCGAATATGTCGGATGACATCATGCAATACACCAATACGTGCCTCATCTGCCAACAGGACAAAGTCGAGAAGGCCAAAGTCTCGGGACTCTTGAAACCTCTACTTGTGCCAACAAGGCCTTGGGAAAGTGTGTCTCTGGACTTCATAACACACCTCCCAAAAGTCGGGGAATATGACACCATCTTGGTTATTGTAGACTGGTTCTCGAAATATGTGATGTTCGTCCCCACTCCTAAATTATGCTCGGCTGAACTTACAGCCCAACTATTTTTCAAACACGTTGTAAAGTTATGGTGCATTCTGTCGAGCATCATCAGTGATAGGGATGGTAGATTCATTGTCACATTCTGGACCGAATTATTCACCTTCTTGGGAACGACTTTAAACATCTCCTTGAGCTTTCATCCTCAAACCTATGGATAGACGGAACGGTTCAACTGCTTGCTCGAAGAATACTTACGTCACTTCGTCGACGCTCACTAGAAGAATTGGATACAACTGCTAGATGTCGCCCAATCTGTTTCAATTGTCAAACGAGCTTGTCTACGGGGAAGAGCCCTTTCGAAATTGTAAGTGGACGACAACCGGCCTTGCCCCATATTATTGATCATTCTTATGCAAGGAAAAATCCTTAAGGTTAAAACTTCACAAGAGAATGGAAGCAGACAACAGATACAGCCCGGGTATATTTAGAGAAAGCTTCCAAGCATATGAAGAAGTGGGCGGACAAGAAGCGTCACCCCCTTCAATTCCGAGTAGGAGATCAAGTCCTCATCAAGTTGAGACCAGAACAAATCAGATTTCACAGCCGAAAGGACCAGAGACTAGTTCAAAAATATGAAGACCCGGTTGAAGTCCTTAAAAAGATCGGGGCTACCTCCTATAGAGTTGCGCTACTCACATGGATGAAAATCCACCCAATAATTCATGTAAGCAACTTAAAGCCCTATCACCTTGACCCATATGATAACCAGCGAAATGTAATCACGAGACCGAGCATCGATCTGAAATAAAGAGACAGCAAACAAACAGAGGAGATCCTAGCTGACAGGGTTAGGAAGATAGGAAGACCTGTACGGATGATTCGTGAATTCCTTGTCAAATGGAAGAATCTCCCTACAGTGGAAACCAGTTGGGAACGTGCTGAAGATCTGGACTCCGTCGCCACCCACATTGCCAGGTTTGAAAGCAGTCGGTTGACAGGGACGTCAACCAATTAGGTGGGGGAGGATGTCACAGTCATGCTCGTCCAAGGCATGTTGCCCATGGCCGCATGCCCATGACAAGCACAACCCTTTATGTCTTTTCATATTCTAGTGTTTTACTTTTGTATTTCTAGGAAGTACGACGTTTCAGAAATATCATGCCTAGGCCTGTCAGACCTGAAATGCCTCAGAATGTACTATAGGGGGATACGACTAGTTGTCAACTTCTCCCTACCCAAGGTTATATACTGTGAGCCGTTGTTATTTCTCTCTTGCTTGCTTATATAACTGTCTCTTTTAAAAATCTCTCTTTCGAAAATCTCTCTCTGCCCTCGTTTTTTAAAACCTTCTCTTAAAACCAAGGCCAGAGGCTCGAGCATACGTTGCTTGGCCATTGGCGACGCAAGAACGAATTAGCTTAGCTCACTGCCTAATGTTTGGCTTTGATACCAATTGTAACGGCTCAAGCCTACCGCTAGCTGATATTGTCCTCTTTAGGCTTTCCCTCTTGGACTTCCCCTCAAGGTTTCTCACAATCCACCCCCTTTGAGGCCAGTGTCCTTTCCCTCCCCAACCGATATGAGATCTCACAATCCACCCCATTTCAAGACCCAGTGTCCTAGCTGACACTAGTTCCCCTCTCCAACTGATATGAGATCTCACATCTGATCCTGATATCAATATGTAATAGAACTACTCATCTATTTACCTATATATGGGAATGAATGAATTTCATCTCGTGAAGTTATGTTTCTAGCTTCCTAATTGGCCAAATCTCCAAAATGGTAGACTTATTGATTTAGCGATAAAAATCATTCTCAGCCATCCAAATCAAAGAACAAACGCTCACCGACATGAGTTTATAGCTCACTCAAGATTAAAATCGAGTCGCAGATGGTCGTTTAGTGAAATGTTGATCTTCTTTATCAACGAATTTATAAAGAGAGATTGAATATTTCATGGTTTAGTCTTTTACAAACTATTTGTATAGGTATCTCTACTTACATGTCTCCACATGAACCATTTGAATCAAAAGCTCTAATACCACCCGTTGGAAGAAAAATACGAAATACAAATTTAATATTATATGTTAGCCACAAATTTGACCTAGCCCAAATGAGCTCGACAAATATTTTAATTTATTTAAGTAGAGCTATATACTTAATATTCATTGTACTATTCGATTTGCTAAGTGTCTCTTGTAATATGACAAATGAAAGAATCAAACTCCACACGAGACACTCCGCCATCGGCAACTGATCGACGTACAGTGGTGGCAAGCTCATTCACTACCTTCCTCATCTCTCGACCTTCCTCTGATGCCATAAGCTTTCGCACTGCATTTTCTATGGTTGTTGCCATTACTATCTCGTTTCGATTAGCCCAATCCCTAATGAGGAGACCCACTCGAAGCTGCTCCGTTATTAGTATAGCGTTCCTCGGTTGGTCAGAGTGCATCGGCCACGCTGCTATGGGAACCCCCATCGCAATGCTCTCCATGCAAGAGTTCCACCCGCAATGACTCACAAACCCTCCGGTCGATGGGTGGCTCAAAATCTCCAATTGTGGCACCCAATCTCGCACCACCAACCCTCTTCTCGACACCCTCCTCTCGAACCCCTCTGGCAACTTCGATCTTCTAACTTCACCGTCAAAGACGTTTCCTTTATCTGCATCTCTCAACACCCAGATGAACTTTTGCCCACTTTTTTCCAATCCACCTACGAAATTGAAATTGAAATATTACACTTTTTGATACTTGATTTTTGGGTTAGGACTCCTATTTGATCCTATGTTAAAAAAATTAGAAAGTGTCTATGAAATCCCATGTCCGTTGGGGAGGATAATGAAATACCCTTCATAAAGGTGTGAAAACCTCTGCCTAGGAGAGCATTTTAAAAACGTTGAGGAAAAACCCAAGAGGACAATATCTGATTGCAGTGGGCTTGGACCATTACAAATGATATTAGAGATAGACACCAGGCGATGTGCCAACGAGAGGTTGAGCGCCCGAAAGGGGTGGACACAAGGCGGTGTGCCAGCTAGGACGTTGGGCCCTGAAGGAGGTAGATTGGGGGGGGGTCCCACATCGATTGGAGAAGGGAACGAGTGCCAACGAGGATGTTGGACCCTGAAGGGGGGTGGATTGTGAAATCCCACATCGGTTGGGGAGAAGAACGAAACACCCTTTGTAAAGAAAAGTGTGGAAACCTCTCCTTAGCGGACGTGTTTTAAAAACCTTCATATTATCCGCTCGAGTTTATCGAAAAGATCTCACATTAATAGAGATGGCATCCCTTACTGCTCATGATCATTTCTTTAACTAGCCAAAGTGAGACTCCAACATGTTGAAATATCATCACTAGCCCAATAGAGTCAAGCCCAATAATTGTACTAGCCCAATAGAGTCAAGCCTAATTGTACGAGCCCAGTATATTTATTTTAGTAGAGATTTTAGGAGAAAGAGATGTAGATATTTTAGGAGAAAGATTCAATTTGTTAGGTCTAGATTCAAATCGGTTAGGTCTAGATTTAGATTGGTTAAATATAGATTGTTTACTCTTAGTATAAATACCCCCACCCTACCTAGGTTATTCATCCAAGAAATCTAAAAACAATAAAAAGCAGAAGTATTCTACAGAGTGTCTTGTATTCTCTTCTCGATTGGTCTTAATAAAGAGAGCGAGTGTTTCCCACAGTGAGTTGTGTTCAACATTTGGTATCAGAGCGAGGTTAGTGTAGGTTATCTGATCTCTTGGAATCCTTAGTATGCTCTGTGGTTGCAGCTCTGCCTGATCTTCCACATCAGAAACGATTTCTTGAGATTAGTGGTGAGTGAGTTTCTTTTGTGTCGTGAGAAGTCTGTGACTCTGCAAGTCTTGTGTCAAAAGAACTTGTTTGGTATTACTGAGGTATGGCCAACAGATGAGTGATTTCCAAATCGTTGGAGGAATTAAGAAACTCAACAACAACAACTACAACACGTGGGCAACATGCATGATGTCCTATTTACAAGGACAGGATCTTTGGGAGATCGTTGGCGGGTGTGAAACTACGCCGCCAGAGGAGGATTCTAACGACGCCTTGCGCAAATGGAGAATCAAAGCAGGCAAAGCAATGTTTGCCTTGAAGACCACCATCGGAGAAGAGATGTTAGAACATATTTGGGATGACAAGACACCGAAAGAAGCATGGGACACATTCGTGATGTTGTTCTCAAAGAAGAATGATACGAGGCTACAACTTCTGGAGAATGAGTTGTTGTCAATTTCACAACGTGATATGACGATTGCTCAGTACTTCCACAAGGTCAAATCGATCTGTCGGGAGATTACTGAACTAGACCCAAAGTCCGCCATTGTAGAATCTCGAATGAAGAGGATTATAATCCACGGATTGCGACCAGAATATCGAAGCTTCATTGCTGCTGTACAAGGATGGCCCACTCAACCATCACTGGTAGAGTTCGAAAATTTGTTAGCCAGCCAAGAAGCCATGGCTAAACAAATGGGAGGCTTCACATTGAAGGGTGAAGAAGCACTCTACACGAGTGAAAGTCAGAGCAATAATAGGCCGTCTACCAGACGTGGATACAATGGTGACAAAAGAAGAAGCCACCAAGGGATTGCACAACCTGAGAGAGCTCAGAAGAACGACAACAAGAGTTTTCAAAGAACGAGATTTGGTGGTATTTGCTATAACTGCGGGAAAAAGGGCCATATGTCTAGAGATTGTTGGTCCAGGAAAAAGTCCATTGAAAACAATGTGGCAATATCCAAAAAGAAGATAGAAGATGAATGGGATGCAGAGGTACTATGTCCCATAGAAGAAGACGAGCTAGCACTCATGGCGACAATGGAAGACCATATCAACTATGAGAATGACTGGATCGTTGATTCAGGATGTTCAAATCACATGACTGGCGATCAGAGAAAATTGCAAGACAAGAAAGAGTACAAAGGAAGTCGTATGGTACGTACAGCAAATAACACACAGTTATCAATTGCTCAAATCGGCAATACGACAATCATGCCTGGCAATAAGTCTGATACAGTGTCGCTACATAATGTTTATCATGTACCGGGTATAAAGAAGAACTTGTTGTCAGTGTCACAACTAACAACATCAGGAAGCTATGTCTTGTTTGGGCTAGAAGATGTAAAAGTTTATCAAGATGTTAAGATAATAGGAAAGCCGACGATAGAAGGACGAAGAGTGGAGTCTGTCTACGTTCTATCTGCAGAGTCTGCCTATGTTGACAAGACCCGGAAGAATGAGACGACAGATCTATGGCATGCAAGATTGGGACATATTAGCTACCATAAGTTGAAGCTGATTATGGAGAAATCTATGCTCAAAGGTCTACCACAACTGGAAGTCAAAACAGACGTTGTCTGCGCTGGATGTCAGTATGGTAAAGCTCATCAATTACCATACAAAGAGTCAAGTTTCAAAGCAAAGAAACCATTAGAGTTAGTTCACTCTGATTTGTTCGGCCCAGTCAAACAAGCATCGATCAGCGGAATGCGGTATATGGTGACATTTATTGACGACTACTCAAGATATGTGTGGATTTTCTTTATGAAAGAAAAGTCTGACACGTTCTCAAAGTTTCAAGAATTCAAGATGATGGTCGAAGGAGAAGTAGGAGCGAAGATTCGTTGTCTACGTTCAGACAATGGCGGAGAATACACGTCAGATGAGTTCGATCAATATTTACACGAGTGTGGGATACGACGTCAATTTACATGTGCCAACACGCCACAACAAAATGGTGTAGCAGAAAGAAAGAATCGACACCTTGCAGAAACCTGTCGAAGCATGTTACACGCAAAGAACGTTCCAGGAAGATTTTGGGCTGAAGCTATGCGAACTGCTGCCCATGTGATCAACAAGCTTCCTCAACCAAAGCTAGGGTTCGTCTCACCATTTGAGATACTATGGGATATGAAACCTACAATTAGTTACTTCCGAGTATTTGGCTGTGTTTGCTATGTATTTGTGCCTGACCATCTACGTAGCAAGTTTGACAAGAAAGCAGTCAAGTGTGTATTTGTTGGATACGACAATCAAAGAAAAGGATGGAGGTGCTGTGATCCAACAAGTGGAAAATACTATACATCAAGAGATGTAGTTTTTGATGAAGCATCTACATGGTGGTCCTCGGAGAAGAAAGTCTTATCAGATTCAAACATTGAAGAAATTCTACAACAGAAGCTGGGGGAGCAAACTACACAAATTCAATCAAATGTCGATGCATCTGAAAATCCAAGCGACATTGATATTGACAAGCAGGAGGTGACTCAATCAAGCGAATCTGATAAAAATGAAACAACACATCAACAACTTAGGCGATCAAATAGAATCCGAAGGCCAAATCCTAAGTATGCAAATGCAGCTATTGTAGAAGATAGAGTTTACGAACCAAAGACATATGAAGAAGCATCACAAAACTCGGTTTGGCAGAAAGCGATGGAGGAAGAAATTATAGCCTTGGAGCATAATCAAACTTGGGAACTAGTGCCAAGACTAGGAGATATCAAACCCGTCTCTTGCAAGTGGGTCTATAAAATAAAGCGTCGACCGGATGGATCAATCGAGAGATACAAGGCTCGACTCGTGGCTCGAGGATTTTCTCAACAATATGGACTAGATTATGATGAAACATTCAGTCCAGTGGCAAAGATTACTACCGTACGAGTTCTGCTAGCACTCGCAGCAAGTAAAGATTGGAAACTGTGGCAAATGGATGTGAAGAATGCCTTCTTGCACGGAGAGCTAGACAGGGAGATTTATATGAACCAACCAAAGGGATTTGAGAGTGCAGCTAATCCTAATTATGTATGCAAGCTTAGAAAAGCTCTTTATGGACTGAAACAAGCACCGAGAGCTTGGTATGGTAAGATTGCTGAATTTCTTACCCAAAGTGGTTATTCAGTTGCGCATGCAGACTCAAGCCTATTCATCAAAGAAAGAGAAGGAAATTTGACAATTGTGTTGGTCTACGTGGACGATTTGATTATCACCGGGGACGATGAAAGAGAAATTTATCAAACAAGAGAAAATTTATCAATACGCTTTCAGATGAAAGAGCTAGGAGAGCTTAAACACTTCTTAGGCCTAGAAGTTGATCGCACAGATGAAGGACTGTTTCTCTGCCAACAAAAGTATACCAGAGACATGCTTCAGAAGTTCAACATGTTAGAGTGCAAGCAAGTTTCAACACCGATGGAGATAAATGCCAAGATTTGTGCACATGAAGGCAAAGAGTTGAACGATGAAACAACGTACCGACAACTAGTAGGTAGTCTTATCTACCTAACTTTAACTCGACCTGATATCTCTTATGCAGTTGGGGTTATGAGTCGATACATGCAAAGTCCAAAGAAGCCTCATCTGGATGCAGCTCGACGGATCTTGAGATATATCAAAGGTACAATCGACTATGGTCTTTTGTACAAAAGAAGCAAAGACTGCAAGCTAGTTGGATACTGTGATGCTGACTATGCAGGAGACCACGATACTCGGAGGTCAACCACTGGGTATGTGTTCAAGTTTGGTTCGGGAACAATTTCTTGGTGTAGCAAGAGACAACCAACAGTATCATTATCAACTACAGAAGCAGAGTATAGAGCAGCGGCTGGAGCAGCCCAGGAAAGTACATGGCTAAAACTCTTGATGGAAGATTTGCACCAGAAAATTGACTATCCAATATCACTTCTTTGCGACAACCAATCTGCGATTCGCCTTGCAGAAAATCCAGTGTTTCATGCTAGAACAAAGCATGTGGAGGTGCACTACCATTTCATTAGAGAGAAGGTCCTAAAGGAAGAAATTGAGATGCAGCAGATCAAGACAGATGACCAAGTGGCAGACTTGTTTACAAAAGGGTTGAATACTAGCAAACATGAGAGCTTTCGCTGTCAGCTCAACATGATGCAGCGAATGAGGACTAGTGCTGAGGGGGAGTGTTGAAATATCATCACTAGCCCAATAGAGTCAAGCCCAATAATTGTACTAGCCCAATAGAGTCAAGCCTAATTGTACGAGCCCAGTATATTTATTTTAGTAGAGATTTTAGGAGAAAGAGATGTAGATATTTTAGGAGAAAGATTCAATTTGTTAGGTCTAGATTCAAATCGGTTAGGTCTAGATTTAGATTGGTTAAATATAGATTGTTTACTCTTAGTATAAATACCCCCACCCTACCTAGGTTATTCATCCAAGAAATCTAAAAACAATAAAAAGCAGAAGTATTCTACAGAGTGTCTTGTATTCTCTTCTCGATTGGTCTTAATAAAGAGAGCGAGTGTTTCCCACAGTGAGTTGTGTTCAACACAACATACCTGCTATTTCAGTAATTTGCTCGTCTTCCAAGGTCGTGGTCGTCCCAAAGGACACATAGACCACTGAGTCAGTCTCTTGTTGGTCCAACCACTCCAAGCAAGGGTGACTGTGCCTTGGCGAACCCAATTCCATAGGATTAATGGGACCAATGGCCCAATGCCTAGTCTCATGGTTGATGCTTTGAAGAATCTCCAAATATGGCTCTTCAATGACCTTACAAGTGTTGTAGAGATTCCCACAATACTTCATTGGGGCTCCATATTGCATTTCCATAAACTCCAAAAACTCCGGAGTGAAGCATCCATCAAAAGATGGAACATTCATATCCTTAATAATGGTGTTTTTATTTTTGTTCGTTTGTTTTGTTTCAAGATGGCAAACGGTAAATGCTGAGACACTATGAAAATTATAAGACTCGACATTCGGTATGAAGTTAATATCTTCAACCGTACATGCCATTAGAGAATCATGAATGACAATGATTCTTCTTGCATAGAAAGAGAGCGAACGTAAGAGATGGGTGAGAGGGGCACGAAGATGGACCGTCACAGTCTGAAACGAAGGGATGAGGTGGGTAGGGAACTTAGTCTCCGCCATGGGATCAGGCATAGGAGAAGGAATAGGGGGAATGTCGAAGTCATGGAAATGGAGGTTGGCAAGTTCCAATGGATCCCAACCGTGGACGCGAGCCTTGGCTTGGAGATTGTGGACAGTGGCGCCAACATAGTGGACGGGGATGTTGTGCGCGGAGATGAGGCGAGAGAGATAGAGAAGCTGGTTGAGATGACTTTGTGCTGGGAATGGCACCACAACGACCATGACTGACCCTTCACTAGTCATGGTTGTGACTTGTTTACGAAGGTCTGTGACATTTAAAATTGAATTATGATCATATAAATAGAGATAGAGGGGAAGAGAAATGCGTCTATTTAAAATTGAATTATGATCATATAAATAGAGATAGAGGGGAAGAGAAATGCGTCTATTTAAAATTGAATTATGATCATATAAATAGAGATAGAGGGGAAGAGAAATGCGCTGTCTGATAAATAGTTGATAGTTTTTCAAATTATCAATATTATTATTTTTACATAATTTCCTAATATGGCTTGAATTAATATATTTTTCATTTTCATTTGTAATTTTATTTTTAATATACTTAATTAGTTAATCTTTGTTTACTAAAATTAATATAATTAATTATTTAGTTAAAATAAACTAATAATAATGTATTTAAATATATACTTGATTTAATTTTAAAATAAATTTTTTTAAATAAATAAATTACTTATCTAAGAAAATAATTAATTAGTTAGCTAACAATTATCTAAAAATAATTAATTATAGCTATGACAAAGAAATTGTTTATAATTAAGGGATTATTTTTTACCTACTTATTTATTAATATATCATAATTTAAAGCATAATTAATTGACTCAAATTAAAATTAATTAAATATTCTATTGTAATAATTAATTTTTACGTGTTATATTAACTTCGTTTTGAATAATTTATTATTATTTTATTAATAATTATCATAATTCTATAAGATTTATGGAACTATAAGTATATCTATTTAAAATAATTGCTTAATTAATTCTTCAATGTAATTATTTTATTAATTATTTATAATTAAATTTTTATATAATTTTATTAAAATTATTTAAATGAGGATAATTATTAATTAAATTCAAAGGAACGTTACATTATATACTTATTAATAAATAAAAATAAAAATAAAATTTAAAGCATTAAAATTATTTTAATAACAAAAATAACTGACCACCATTAATTATTTAAAATGTAGCGTAATAAAATTGAATTACCTAAAATGGAGTGATGTATATCAAAATTTTCTAGATCGAATAAAACAGATCTGCCTAGATCGAAGTCTCAGTCTCGAAATTTGAGCTATAACCCGCCTCGTAGCCTCGGTGAAACAAGAACCCCAACCTCGTAGACTCAGAAATCCATCTTGAGTAGCCTAGCTCGCATGCACGTTTCCTTTAACCCAGCGTGCTTGGTCCAAACAACAAACCTGCCGCCGATCTTTTCCAAGCTCGATTCCACTTCTTCTTATCTCCAAAAGGAGACACGACTTAAACGGTTCAACTCCACTTTCGATCCAAGGATGGCCAGATCTGCAGCGACTTATGCCTGCAACCCGTTACTTGACCCGAATCGAACGTCGACCGGGGTCCCTCTCGTTTCGGCTTGGCTCTGGCTCAACAGCTTACGCTCGGCATCTGAAGGCTCCAACCACTTAAACGACTCGATTTAATGACTTTTACCTCGTTCCATTCTTTTCAAATCTAATTTACTATTTTTGACCCTTTCAGAGTCGATTTTGGCATTTTCAAACGTATTTGAGATAAATAAGTATTGTAAGCTAAACTAGATGGTCAATTATGAGTATTAATTTGTGATGTCGCAGGTAGGTCGGGGAGGAGAACAAAACATCATTTATAAGGGTCTGGAAACTGTTGAGGATTATTGGGATTGGGAGTGTCCCACATTGGTTAATTTAGTGGAAGATCATGGGTTTATAAGTGAGGAATACTATCTTCATTGGTATGAGGCCTTTTGGGGAAGCCCAAAGCAAAGCCATGAGAGCTTATGCTCAAAGTGGACAATATCATACCATTGTGGAGAGTCGTGATTCCTAACATGGTATCAGAGCCATGCCCTAAACCTAACCATGCCAATAGAATCCTCAAATATCGAACAAAGAATGGCGAGCCTCGAAGGTGTAGTCAAAAGTGACTAAAGTGTCGAACAAATGGTGTACTTTGTTCGAGGGCTCCAGAGAAGGAGTCGAGCCTCAATTAAGGGGAGGCTATTCGAGAGCTCCATAAGCCTCAGGGGAGGCTTATAGTGTGCTTTGTTCGAGGGGAGGATTGTTGAGGATTATTGGGATTGGGAGTGTCCCACATTGGTTAATTTAGTGGAAGATCATGGGTTTATAAGTGAGGAATACTATCTTCATTGGTATGAGGCCTTTTGGGGAAGCCCAAAGCAAAGCCATGAGAGCTTATGCTCAAAGTGGACAATATCATACCATTGTGGAGAGTCGTGATTCCTAACAGAAACCTTCTCCCAGACGATGTGCCAGCCTTCTCCCTATTCTCCGAAGGGGGGTAGACACGAGGCGATGTGCGAGCGAGGACATTGGGGCCCGAAGGGGGGTGGATTGTGACGTCCCACATTGGTTGGGGAGGAGAACAAAACTTCATTTATAAGGGTGTGGAAACCTTCCCCCGGATGATGTGCCAGCCTTTTCGCTATTCTCCGAAGGGGGGTAGACACGAGGTAGTGTGCCAGCGAGGACGCTGGGGCCCGAAGGGAGGTGGATTGTGATGTCCCACATTGGTTGGAGAGGAGAACAAAACATCATTTATAAGTGTGTGAAAACCTTCTCCTAGCAGACACGTTTTAAAGCCTTGAGGGGAAGCCCAAAGAGGAACAGAATAATATCTGCTAGCGGTGGACCTGGGCCGTTACATAATTAGACTAGGCTGCTCAACGTATTTCAATCTAGTGTCGTAAACCCACATAGGTTGACTTGGACTTCAAGAGACAAATTTAAACTAGCTTCAAATCTTACCTTGTGTTTGTTTGATGTTTGCTTATTAAGTTATGATAGGTTGTAGTTATGAGATATATGATGTTATGGGATATCATGTTAACATGCTATGCCATCGATGATATTCCTACGTTATGAAAGTGTGGTACCATGTTTTTCACTATATAATAAAATGACATAAAATGATTATGTTACGTATGAAATGAATAGAGATATATATTCCATCACAAATACATGTCATGATTTTAAACTATGGAGACCTCATGCAAATTGTATATGCAGACGCATCGAGATACTTTCTCGTTATGATCAGTACGAACACGTATACTACGATGTTACGATACGGTAATATGTACACCATGATACTATGCATGCTCCCTTCCCTTCATGGTATATCGACATCATGAGTGTACACTAGTCGAAGGCTAGGTTCAGGAGATACAATACGAGCTTGCCTGGGGTCCATGTGTACGTGCTTGAGCCATATGTAGAGAAGTACTACATCCAATTCCGTCCGGACTGAAAGTTGAGACCAAAGCATGAAAGACAGGTCCAAACATGATTGCATGTGATTACATTTCTTGACCTCAGTAGTGGGGTCACTTGCTGAGTATTTTTTAAAATATTCAAATCACGCGCTACTCTCACTTTTAGATAAAGGCAAGACACCTCTGTATGGATGACGACGTCGAAGTAACGACCATGAGACTTAAGCTAGAGTAGATGCATTTTATGTTGTGGCTTTTAGATTAGATCACAACATTGTTCTATTCTTTTCTTGGTTTTAATAGTAAAAATATATCAGAACTTTAGGTTATAGATTCTGTAGACTAGCCTACGATGTAGGTTCGACATGCTCCTTTGGTCCCACCGCAGACACATCGTTGCCGTCAAGTATGCCTTACGGAAGATTAGAAAAAAAGATAATGCTGATTGTTGTTTATGATTGATTCATGTGTGCAATGCAATGTATAGTATGATTGTATGTGGAGAACAAGGCAGGGGTAGAGTGTGTCCCGATTGTGAGGTATCCGTGACTCGAACAAGCAAACAATGGTGGCAACCCAACAAGTCATTCGTGCTTTGTCAATCCTAGAGGTTAGGTAGCTGTAGGATTTGAGGAGGTATGACCCCGTATCTTTAGCGGAACCTTAAAGGATCCAACTGTTGCGCAGCTATAACTATTGTCGATGGAGACAATCATTCAGTTATCAAAAGACATCATGTGCTTCGTTTCTGCTGTAGAACGACGCAGAGATATGGTAGAAAGATACTTGAGACATCCTTAGCCTTGACGGAGGAGTGATACCATGGTCACAATTTAAAAGGGCCTTTTGGGAGGATTATTACGTAGAGGCGATCCGACTTAAAAAATTGCAAGAATTCTCCCAACTGACACAGAATAAACGCTCCATCACTGCCTAGAGAACACCGAGGGCCACCAACATTGTCAACCACCTCCTACCGTCTTGAGAGCAGTTAAGACTATGAGGGAGCTAGCACTTGAGAACACCGAGGGCCACCAACATTGTCAACCACAGTAGGAAAAATGTGGCGATATGATCAGATTTGTAATTAGATTTCAATTTGTTTTCAATCGCGGTGTTATTTGTTTTAAATTTAGACTTCACTTTCGTCATTTTTAGTCATAGTCCGAGATTTTAAGGCTCAAAATATCAGGTCGTGACAAAGATGGAGGAAGAGAAACGTTGAAACTCAAAAGTACGATACGAACACGAAGATAGGGGAAGGGGAAAGGGAAAGGAAGGGAGGGAGATAACATTATTTGTTTTACACATAATTTTATTTTAAATAATGCATAAACAAAAATTAAATTCGTTTTAGGCGCTAACATAAACACACAACATTAATCGTCTCTTGTAATATGAGAAATGAAAGAATCAAATTCCACTCGAGACACTCCGCCATCTGCAACGGATCGGCGTACGGCGGTGGCAAGCTCGTTCGCTACCTTCCTCATCTCTTGACCTTCCTCTGATGCCATAAGCTTTCGTACTGCATTTTCTATGGTTGTTGCCATTACTAACTCGTTTCGGTTAGCCCACTCCCTAATGAGGAGACCCACTCGAAGCAGCTCCGTTATTAGTACAGCGTTCCTCGGTTGGTCAGAGTGCATCGGCCATGCTGCTATGGGAACCCCCATCGTTATGCTCTCCATGCAAGAGTTCCACCCGCAATGACTTACAAACCCTCCGGTCGATGGATGGCTCAAAATCTCCAATTGCGGCGCCCAATC